AATAAATGTTAGTTCTCCTCATTATTGGCTGTGATGCAGGGGCCACCGTGGATTTTACTCTTTTGGAATGTGCATCTCACACCTGATATAAATAGTCCAACATTGAAATACAATTCAGGTCCACCTCAGAGTCCTTAAACCTGAGTCACATAGAAGACACAGATAGAAGATATGGCCCTTCTTTTTGAATGGAAGAAACTAAACAACCTCTTTAAGAGATGAAGTCTTATTTCTTCCCTTCAGCCTGTGAGAGGTGGGGCTTCCTCTACGCAGTATCTTTACTTCTCTTCCAAGCACACCAATCCCTTTCGCCCCTTGCTGCTGGAGTGCGGGAAGGTGGAGCTGGATATACTCAGTCCCAGATCTGTTCTTGAATCCTCTGCCAGGCTGGCCACGTCCTCCCAGGCCAGCCCTTTCCTGCCTTTGAAGTGAGAACTCCTCTTATCGTGAAATTGTCTGTTAATGTCTGCACTAATCTGGAGGAGAGTGGAAGCCAGTGTGTGTTGACTTAGCCTTGGCAGGCGTGAAGAATGTTTTCTGTCTCCTGGTGCAAACCTTTGACCTCCAGGCCCCCAACTAGGGCATTAAGACACTGACCTATTTGTATCTCTAGTTTCTCCAGGAAATTTTGGGAATTTGTGGTAGCAATAGCAGTAGCAGTAGTAATAAATAGTAGTCTTTGCTTAGCAGATACTTAACTATTCACCAGACACGATGCAAAGTGCTTTTTCTATGAGCTCAAGTTTCAACAAGCATCAACCCAGTGAGGTAGGGGTTAGGATCACCATTTTAAAGGTGAGGACATTAAGGTTCATGTTTCAACATCATATAGCTGCGAAGTGGTGAGCCCTGGATGTCAACCCAGATCCCCCTAATTCCAGAGCTCATGTTCTTAATCTCTAGACTATGTTTCCCTACCCACGCATTCTCCAAAGCCACTGGACCAAAGAGGAAATTGGTTCCCAGAATGTTTAAATTAGTAATGTTGGCTCATCGAACAGAGATTTGAGAAAGAATCCTTGACTGCTTGTTAGCTGCACATCCATACATGGCCAGCGCTTGGGATGCAGCTTCCTTGAGTCATCCTTAGATATAGAGAAAGAAACCAGAGCAACGCCCTTCTCTGTAGGCAGACACCTGAGCTACAGGATTGAATCTGGAGCAAAATTAGGTATTCAGTTAAGCCAGAAAGAGAGGGAGGGAGGCACGGACAGACAGACAGACAGAGACAGAGAAGTCTTCCTCTGCAACATTATTCCTTTCTTCATTAATTTCTCAACTATTTATTAAACACTCACTGTATACCTGGCACTGAACCTTGCATTAGGAAGACACAACAAAAGACATGGTATCAGCCTCAAAAATTTTAGGAGAGGTGGATAGATACATTTCAAAATGGGGGAAGTCATCAGCTGGTATCTAGGGGCAAAGAAGACTTCGGATGGAATGTGACACATGAGGTAGTCTTGAAAAATAGAGAGGTAAGTGTTACTAGTGTTAGAAGGTGCAGAAAGAAGGCATCCTAGGCAGGAGGACAGGGTGAGCAAAGGCTGCAAATAACATAATGCATCTGAAGAGACAGAAAGATTCTAGGATGGCTGAAGCCCAAAAAAAGTGAACTTTCTCAAAGATCACATGTTTTTCCCTGTAAAGAAGCAGAGCCATCTAATACAAACTGCTATTTTGCATTTTGACCTCTCGTAGCTTTTATATACCTGATTCCTATTGCAGGTAACGAAAATCTCTAACAGAGCTATGACAGCAATGCCCATCACTAAACATCTGTGACAGGAAGACAATGGTTCAAGCCTTATTCTAGCCACACATTTTGCACATACAACCTGAGTAAACAGGAGCATCCCACATAAAGCCCAACTCAACATGGTGACCTCGTCAAAAGAAACACAGCTAACTGTGAAAGCGTCAAAAAACAATTAAGGCTTTATTAATTCCATGGAAAAATGCTCAAGGGGGCATTTTGCCACAGAATTCTCTTCTCTTGGGCCATCCCTCTTCTAAAGGTCCCACTCATGGCAGCCATCACCCCAGATCTCCTACGTCACTGCCTAAGACCCCAGTTTGTCTCTCTGTGGCCTCTGGATCTGTATTTATTCGTGTGTTTTAGGAATCTCTCTCTGCTCTTTCTAATATCTCTCTCTTTCTAATACAAATTAATTTAGCCTCCAGTTATCTTCCCTGCCCACTAGGGCCTTCATTGTGCTCATCAGGCTGATGGAGAAACACAACATACTACTTAGAAGACAGGAGAGTGAGAAAGGCTCTGAATACTTATACTTTATATAATTGTTCCTGTCAGTCCTGCAAGTCACTAGAGTGAGACGCACCTAAGTCCAAGAACAGAATTGATCTCAAATCTGTGATCTTGGGCAAATAATACCTCTGGGCCTCAGTTTCCTTGTCCATAAAATGGAGGTAATTTTACCTATCCTAGGAAGCATATTAGGGAGCCACAGGCTGAAAGAGCTTTGACGTATAATGGGCTCAGCTTATGTCCACGGTTATGAGTGTTGTTATATGCTGAAATTAGACACATTGCTTTCCATCAGCTAGTAAAGGCTCATGTGGAAAACACAGTTATTTGAAAAAGCAGCAACTGTGATAAACCTAACTGTCAACTCCTGACTTGAAATCCAAAGTATAGTTATTAAGTAGACTTCACTCTTTATCGTTATTATTCAATTTAAAATTTTATAGGATAGTCTCAGTAAGACTTTTGCAGGGCCACACATTTTCCAGGGTTGAACTTAGCTCTTAAGGATGCTATTAAGGAGCTAAACTCTTAGGGAACTTAGCTCTTAGTCTTAAGGATGATGTAGTGTGTCAGGTTCCTAGGAAGCTGTGTTGTTTTTCTAGGCTCTGTGCTCCCTTGCATGTTGACCTGGACGGAAGATATTTACTCGTGTCAAGTTTTTATCCCTCCTTCAATAAGACAAGAGTATTATCTCTTAATGAAATTGTGAAATATTTATTTTCAGGGTAGTATTAGTGAACGAAAACAATCAGAGATGCTTTAGTTAGTCAATGCTCACAGGCCAAGTCTGTACCCTGATGAGCCTGATTTTTGTTGTTTTGCAAAATATTGTGACAAGAATAATAAAAATTCTGGTCCCTCCATTATTTTACTTAAGTACTTTTCTATGCATATGTCTAAGTTCTGTATTGTAATACATCATAACTGTTTACCATGTTGCTACATAATCATCGTAATTATTACTTTAATGGCCATGTAATCATCCATCTTGTTAACACATCATAATTTACTTAACCTAAATTTTCAACAATAGGAGACTGGCTGTTTTCCAATTTTCTCACTAGTATAAATAACCTCTAGGCTGTATATTTGTGTATATAGTGTTTTCATTTTTTAGATTATTTCCTTAGGGTATACTCCTAGATTGGAATCACAAAGTCAAAGAATGTACATTTTTAATAGTTTTTAAATAAATTGACATACTTTTTTCAGTCTACAATGCTATCAGCAATACATTAGTATTCTACTTTTATTACAGCCTTATCAATAATGTGTATTATTTTATATTCAATATGCCTTAAAAGAGCCTCACTTTTTGTTTTTGCATTTTCTCAAAAACAGTGAGCTTTAATCAAACATTTGTTTATCAATTATGCATTCTCTCATATTTTAAAAAGCCAGTTTTAAAACCTATGTAAATTTTTAACATCAAGAACCCTTGCTATTCTCTCCCTTTGCCCAATAGTTTTATATATTAAATAAAGCCATGGATTTTTTTTTTCTGAGCAAAATATTCAGTTGCACTCTTATATTAATAAATGAGGTCTTGTGTATGAAAACTAGAGGGAGAAGCCAGATAAAGTAATAGGAAAATTAGAAAATAAAAATTTGAAAAAATAAAGAAAATAGATCTGCACCAGCATTCCCAAGGTCAAAAGCAGGGTTACGATTCGAGTGGTTTCGTTTCGGGCCAGATCAGATGTTAATGACTTTCTCTCTAGTCTCTAACCTGCTCAGCCAACCTAACTTTTCAACTAGCAAACTCAGAAGCCAGCTCCACTCAGAAGCCACACCGCTCCCAATATTTTCTTCTAAATTTTATCCCGGGAAAGCTTCCTGATGAATGAACCTCCCATCCCCCACCCCACCCCCCTAAAAAAATGCCTTCACACCATTCCCAGCCTGATCTTGTTCCAGATCAAGTAACTGCGTGAAAGCCCATCATATACGAAATGATTTCCCGAACCACAGCCCCATCGGGGCTGAATCCCAGAAATCTGGTTTTGCCCTTATTTCCAGGTGTCAAAAAAATAAACTACATCAACAGAGCCACTTTAAAGTGGAGCGGGAGCTGCATGCCAGAGGAACTGCCTTGCACGTCTTATGCCTCAAGACTTGTAATCTTAAAACGGGGAAAATAACCTTTGGACTGGGTCTAAAGCAACATGGTGCCCCAAAGAACTGTTTGCAAGGATAACAACAAGAAAGCAGACGTGATGACTACTGGACCAAACATTAAAATCATTGTCTAGAATTAGCGTCACTATGTTAGCTTACCTGTACCAGTAGAAGTGCTTGCCTTCTACTGATGTAATTGTTCACCTTCTCTTTCTCATAAGATACCCAGTGCCTTTGTCTCCTAATCAGAACGCTATTTGGGCTTCTGCCTGAAGCTGTGCTTTCCTGAATAGCTGTTCTTTCTTTTTCTTTTTTTTAATCTCAAATAAATGCTAGTTGCCTCTTACTTTGAAAGGCCTTTTATTTTTAGGTTAACACAGGCAACTTTGCCTGTCCCTGAGATGGATGTCCGCCAAATGGCGGAGGAACATTTCAAGAACACAAGCCGCGATAAGTTTGTCCTGGAGTTGAGTAACCAGTGTCTTTGCTAGAGCTTCCTCTTTGACCTAAGGATGTTTGTTCTGGTTTGTTTGACTAGGACAATTACTACGTACCGGTACCTGGGAACATAAAGAAATAACGTACTGTATTTTCCCGTTTCCTCTTGCAGCCTCAACCGAGGGTTCTCCATAAACGTGGTTAGCCTTCGAAGCCGCTGTCCTGCCAGTCGATATGAACGTGGTCTGGTCCTCACAGAAAGACTGACTCGTGGCACTGCCAGAAGATATCCTTGGAGCATTGACAGATTCACCAGATTAACTGGGGGAGAAAAAAAAAACATTCAGTCAAGATTATGGGCTTTGGAAAATCGTAGTTTGCTGTGGATTTTTAAATGAGGTGCATAATATACAGTGCCAGCTCATTCCAAGCGGTCATTGGCAGACCATTAGCTGGAAAATTGCTTCCAGTTTTCATCACTGTGCATAACTCAAGCTCCCTTTGGGGAGCTGTCTGTGCCCTTCACTAGAAGTCCTGTTTTAGCATGGCAACTACTGGATTCTTTTATTATGTGTGCAGATGGCATGATGTGTTAGAAAAAAGTGACAGCAGTTCTGTAATCTCAGTGAAAGTGTTCGCCATATTACGCCCTGGAATGTCAACATGGTTATGTTAGTTATGACATCTAAAGGTATTCTGCCCAACTCTTAAGCACTTTATAGGAGAACACAACGCCAAAACGAATCAGCACGTTCAGTACATGTGAGAAAACAAGTATTTCCTTTTTTCTTTATAGATCTTGTCCTATTGCTGGCTCAGACTGTCCAAGACAAACTGCACTCCTGTCATATCCCCAGTTATTTGTGGTAGATCGGTGTAAATATGGCCACGATACTGTTAGACTTACTCTCTTGACACTTTACTGAACAACCGATTCCTTGTAGCACCAGAGAGAAGGAGAAGTGGGCCTGCTGATTGTAATAGCTCTTGGTGCCTCGCACCTAGGCACAACTTACCACACGCACACGCAGATACTCAAACGCGGGAGGCTTCTGTTTGGCCAGTGTGCATATTCTCTCAGTCTATAGAAGAGTTCTTCCCAAGAAAAAAAGGAGAGTGGCCTTCATTTCATCAAAGACCGTGATAGCTTAATGGTAGGGACAGCAGAATATAGTTTTCCTGTGTGGTCTGACTTTAAGACTTTGGAAGACTTTCTAGGTCAAGTTTAAATCACAGCTCTGTGAAGAGAAAGAAACAGCAAGTGACCCGCCCCCCAGCATGCTGAGAGAAGGAAAAGGGGCCAATATGACACTAAGTTCCTTCCTCAAGAGAAAACCTACTAGTCCCTTTCATTCTTTCTGGGATTATACCTACAATTAATTTTTTTTATTATGTTTTACAACAAAGCACAGTCCTGTGAAATGGGTTAATCCAGTAATTGCTTATCTTTAAGCATTAGAGAAATGTCTGTATTGACTGACCCTTACATATACTTTAGCAATTTTTTTCCTGAAAATATAAAGTTGGCTAAATCAAAAACTCAGCAAAGTATGTTCTCTGTGCCCATGATCTCAGCTTGGGACTGACAGGCCTCAGAATCTTTTCTATAAACACGTATATAACAACTCTGGGAGCCTGCCAGCACGCCCACCCATTTGTCCACTCTCCCTGCATCTTGCCTCCCCTGGGGGGAGGGGGTGAGTCTCAGGAAATGCACAGCTGATCGAAAAATGCCAACTGAGAAACGGGCTGTGAACAGATTTGGAAAACTAACAGGGAAAGGGAAAGAGATCCCATCACCCAGCAGGACGACTCACCACGAGCCTACCGGGCTGTAGTGCCAAAGAAGGGGACTTCCAAGAAGGAACACCAAGGAGTGGCAGTCACCGCCGAGATCTGCCCCTTCGCCGGGGTGGCAGCAGGACAGCCAGCCCTTCGGCAGACTGTAATTCTTCACAAATTCAGAATTAGGAGGCCAAACCCTGGCTGCCAGCAGCTCTGGACATAACATCCCAGTCTCCAGCGCCCACTCCTGAGTTTCAATTCCAGTGACAGGGCCTCTCCCTTCTGTCATTCCTTCCTTTATTCAGCAAGCATTTGTTGAGCACCTACTATGTGCCAAATATTGTACTTGGGCAGCAACATGTACAAGGCAGACTCTCCTGCCCTTATGAAATATCTCCTTCCGAACAGTATTTCCACCTCACTTTTTCCACAGCGGAAACTGCACTGAGACACAGTCACTCCCTGCCAGAGTAACCTGGGAAAATGCACAGGGCAGCAGGTAGCTCCCTTGCCTGAGGAAGTAGACAGAGGAGGAAGAGGTAGTAGACAGCATCAGGCCACATATTTGCAACCTTCACGTACAGCCCACCCTCCCAGGGCCTAGATTAGGCTGAGAAGAGCTTCCCAAAGCAGCTTTCAGTTGCTTTCCTTGTTATCCACCCTAGTCACCTACATTCCCATCCTTTATAGAGATACAACCATTCCTCATTACGCTGGATTCTCTGACACTCCAAATCTATAACTAGTCCTGGGGACACAGAATTGGGCCTGATGAATCCAAAAGAACTACTGCCAGATGCTGAGATACTGCAGTTGGGAATTAATTGGTTTAGCCAGGGACGTTCTGGGACTATCGCTAACACCCTCGGAAAGCAGGACATGCCTGATGGTGCAGATGTTCATTAAATGATGGCGGTTCATCCTTACTTGCTTTGGCTTTTTCAAAATATGTTCTGAAAAATTACATAAGTTGAATGTTCTAGCCTTTTTTTTTTCTTTCAAAAGAGTGCTGTAAAATTATGAAAAGATAGTGGGTAAAGATGAAAATAGGAAAGGCCAAAAGACAAGACAATGAAAGAGCCCAATTGAAGATGAGTTCTCTAAAAATGCCTTAATTCCTTCATGAACCACATGTTGCATATGAACTACTACTGTTCTCCAAACTGTTCACCCCTTTTTGAAATCATTTCTGGGGGATAGTTTTGGAAACATGGTGGCATAAAATCTGAGCAGTCAGGAGCTAAACCAGCAAAATGGAGAAACGCTGCCTTTTGTAGGCTCCAGATTCTTTGTTAGGTGTTGATCTGCAGTTACCCACAGTTACTTCCTGCTATGCTGCACCTACTTCACAAGGTGGGTGCAGGAAATTTGACCTCCCAGAAGTTCTGAAATGGCTGGGGTGAGTTTTGTTTAGTATGAAGCAGGAGACAAGGAGATATGGGAGAAATATTTTGATGTCTAGAGGCTGTAAACTGTTGATGCTTACCTTTTCTTTTTACTTAAACCTGTGCTACACCTTATATTAAAAGGCAAAAGGCTGACACCCACACTTGTGCAGGAAAGGCACTGTTAGGAATGAACAGAAATGAATAATTATCAGACTCGCTGGGGTGCCAAGGGGATTAGCTTGTCCCACTCCAGAACAGAATTTAAAACATGCAGAGCATGGTAGTTCTGCTGTGGTAAAGAGCAAATCACTTTAGTAGTTTATTACATACCTAGGGAGATAGAGTCCCTACAAGCTTTCTTTGTGGGTAATGACGCATCTTCAAATCCCTGCTCAGGCTCTGTGAGGTGTCACCACACACCTGACTGCTACCTCCAGAATATGGGTAAACAGCACAGGGGGTCTCTCCAGAGTCACTGCTAATAAATAGTCCTTAGTTCTGAGAGAATTCTGCCATTTTTCAAATTCAGGGGGAAAAAGAATATCAACTTTATGTGAGACTATAAACTCAGGATAAAAACCTTGAATGGATTTATCCCCTGGTTACTTCCAAATGCTTTCTTCGTCTGCAAATGTCACGTAATTGATTTTGGATGGGAACACTAAAAATCGCCTGGAAGTTAAGTTTTCAAGACCCCCTAGCACTTTAGTTTCACCAAGACTTCCTCTTCCCCCTGCATTAGCAGCTTCGTTCTTTGTGATGTTTTTCTCCACGTTCTTTAGAGTAATTTGGTTTCTTGACAACTAGACTTAAGGCTGCTGCAGTCTCTTTTTGAACACCTAATCTTTGAAAATGACATAAATTTCTTTATGCCTTAAAGGCTGTTTTTATTCACCTTTCCCGTAGCCCTTTCCACCCCACTTTTTTGCTTTGTTTTGTGTTTTTTTTTTCTTTTAATGTCTCTCTTTTAACATAGTTCTGTGGGTAGATTTCAGATATTCTATAAAGGACTAATCAGAAAAATATATCACCCTTTTTCCCCCCAGTACTAGAATTCCTTCTTAAGCGTGATCTTGGTGAAAGCTTACTGCCCAGATGCCAGTGGGATATGGATTCTCATCTGTCCAGGGTGTGATTGGTCATTGCTACTAATCAAAACAGGGCCCAGGAGATCATGAAAGAGGACAGACAAGGAGATGCAACTGCTCAGGGCACAGCTGGGGATTCTATCTCAAAAACAAGCAGATCCTCTCTCTTTAGTCTCCTTGGATCTGCATCTAATCCTGTGGCCAGAAAACTGTCTTCGGAATTCTACTTTATTAATGTATATGATTTCTGGCACCACCGCACAACCTCAAAGTCAAAGAGGGCTGCATTCCCACTTGTTTGCCCTGGAGATTTAGTAGGGAGACAGGGAGCATTCTTTTGAAGGCTAACCACCTATGGGAAGCTTACAGAGAAGTTGGCCAAGTGCACGGGGTGGTCCTGCCACAAAAAGAGCAAAATAGGTACTCCTTGGAGATTCTCATTTGGGAAGATGGCTAGAGATGCGGTCTCAGCACTGACTTTGTTCTGGCCATCATCACGGCCCTGCAGGGAAAACTCCGGGCCAGAGGGGAAGAGCTCTGTTTCTAAGATCTAAAAATTTTAGAATGAAATTCACCAGTGAGAAATACAAAGGAGAAGTGCCATTGAGTATGGGTCCAGTTTTAGACCTCCTGCCCAACAGCACAAAGACTGAGAAATAATTTCCGCAGAACAGCAAAAAAACGGGTATAAAAAACTTTGTAAAACTCAAATTTCGTTTGCCATGTAGGGTTGCTTCAAAGTCTTCAAGAGCTCCAAGCATTCTTACCTCAGAGCCTCCTTTCCCAATTACATCAAGCACTAGAAAGCACAAGCAGCATACACCTAATAATTAAATTTCAGAGAAACCATATGACTTGCATTGAATTGCTGTTGACTGGTTGACAAAAGCGTTGTGGATATTTGGACATTATCTCTGATTACATAATATCCTTTTCATATTTGGGGGTTTCATTTGTTTAATTGCTTGCTTGTTGTTGTTTTCCAAACCTCAGACATTTATTAACAGAAGCTTTAGGCTCTTAAACCCAGGCTTTTTTACCTAAGGTACAGAGTGACAGAAACAGCCCTACTATTGGGAACGACAAAGAGATGGTAAGATTACCAGAGTTGGAGATACTAACACCTAAAACATTTAAGACACAAAGGTTCTGCTGGTTACCTTCTGCGCTGTTATAGCCTTTTAAATTTCAGTAGTTTGGATCCAAGCACATAAACAAGCTGCTTTCACGTGGCTTTGCCACATTAGTGCACACACAGCTACCAAATGTGGACTTCTAAGCTGGGTCTATGTTTCAGAGCACATAGATCTGTTATGTGTGATTATATTTAATCACCACCACCCAATTTCTATAAAATGTATTCAAATCCAAAAAAAAAGTCTAAAACAAGAGATTCGTATTAGAGCATTAGCTCTCTCAGGGCAGAGGAGCCAAATTTGTGACACAACCTTGAAGAAACAATTGTTTGCCGTGAAATGCCTTGAGCGTCTGGTGGTTGCTCCCGTCCCATTCCACAAGCTGATGTAGTCGTCTCCCATCTCCCCAGGGATTAGCCTGGCCTGCCTCTAAAATAGCACAAATACCATGAAAACACCTTTTGAAGCTCTCAGGAGTTTCGAAATCACCAGAAAGAAGCTGTACCCTCTTCCAGGAGAGTTTGCCCCACTGGGGGTCGTCAGGGTTCCACTTGCTTAAACTCATAGATAGGCCATTTGAAGTCTCTCTGGGGGCTCTGAATGACCTCTCCACACTGTCTTTCCTCCACCAACAGAAAAATGCTCTCCTTACAAGGCTGTGTTTGAGGAGACGGTGGTTGAGCTGGCGAAAAGAGTTCACGTTGCCGAGAGCTGAAGAGCGCCAGGTTCTTGACTTTGCCCTCTAAGTGCCTGTCCTGGTTGGCACAGAAGTGACTAGTCTGCTAAAAGGCCAAGCCAGCACAGATGTTTTGATACTAATTCCACCAAAACTCTTGTACTACTAAATCATACGACTCTTGTTCCAATTAAGCCAACTACTTAATGTCATTAGGCACTAAATTAAATAGCTGCACACAAAATTTTAGAAAAGATCGATATTGTGACAAAATTATATATTAGCAGTAAAAAGTACCTGAGAAAAGAAAATATTGATCTGTTGTGGTTTATATCCCTCAGTTATTCTTAGGACTTTGTGTACACTGGCACTGCTCTGATAAAAGGGAAGATGTTTTGAATTCAAGAATACGTGAATTCAGTAGAAGTCGCCCAACTCTAAAGGCTTCTGCTCATCCGTTTGGGATGCTAGCCATCCCGCCTTAGCAGACAGGGTTGTTCAGAGGTTAAAATGAGCTAAGTGGAGGAGCTGTCCTATACCAACAATATCGGTGTAATTATCGTGGTGACTAGGCTACAGGCTTTAGTCAGTGAGCCTTTTCCCTTATGCCTTCTCCTCATTGCTGTTATTACTAAGACTCCATTCTGAGATTTAAAAAGGTAAAAATAAGGTAAAAGGTAAAAAAATAATAAAGTACCAGTCAGCATTTTGCACACATGCACACACGTGCATGCACACTCACACATGCTTCTTCCAAAATATGGGGGCTGGTCTGCAGAGCCCACATCAAAGATGCCCATTTATCTCCACCTCTTCACCTCCCAGAGATTTAGAGTATTGTGACCTTGTCCTCTAAAGAGTGAGAGAGCCTTGGGCTTGGCTTAATGCAGGCAAAGACTGCCAATCCCAGCCTCAGCGAAGACCAATGAGAGTGTGAAATTGACAAACAGACATAGGAAGCTTCTTGATGAGTTACTGTATATTAGTATGTGTCCTAGGAAAGAAAAAATACCATGAAAATCACACAATATGAATTGCATATAAGACCAGCGCTCTTAATAGTGTTTGAGGGGAGAGAAATCTGATTGAAAAAAAAAAGAAAAAAAAAAAAACCTGGTTCACTTTTTTACAAACATTAACAAACGTGACTATAAAAGCACATTTCATAGTACAAAAGCCTATGTGGATGGTAGACATTTTTATAGCTTCCTTAAGCGAGTAGTTAAACCAGCAGTCTGAATTCTCTTAGTCCCCTAGGAGTGGTTCATTAAATAAGTATTTTCCTTATTCATTGCCCACAACTGTGGTTTTTTTCTCTATGCACCCTAGAAAAATTCCCAAGACTGGACTTAAGAGGACACAAGAAACTTATGTGGTAAAATAAGAGTGCCTTTTCTGTTGGATGTTCATTTTAGTTCCTTGGATTCCCAGGGCATACAATGTTTAGAAACTTTTTCCTCTAAACATCAGAATTATTGTGCACCACAATTTGGAACCACCAATTTGCATATCTTAAGCAGCTATCGACTTGCCAGTTCCCTTTGAGTCTCCTTTATATTTTCTTATAACGTTTCCTTCTGTTTTGGGTTGTCCTCAAAAAAAGAAATGGGGGGCATGATTCTTTTTAAATTGATAGAAATGAAACTGTACAGATTTTTGCCCCCTTGTATCTATGAGCATGATCTCTATCAGGCTTGAAAATCTGCTTTTATCATTTTGTACATTTGACTATTTTGTATTCAGCATTACTTGATTCCTTATGTGCATGGCAATGTATTAAAATGTGGGATTTCTATTACCGTGTCAAAGTGTTTTGATTCTGGTTTTCAACATATATCCTAGGAAAAAGAAATTACATTAAACTTTTTATTTCTATTTTCTTCAGCTCATCAGCTTTGCAGAAGAAAAAGAAAAGTTAACAGCGTTTCACTTTCCCTGAGTTAGCTAATGATGCAATTCATGGTGGAAAATTGTCCTCAATTATGCTGTGTTTCCTGGAGAAATAATATATGTGCAATGAATTGGTGGCCTCCCTCCAGCTCCCAGCACACACAATTCCCACAGCACCAAATCCCACCAGCATGATCACTATTACTGTCGAATGCGTCAGTGTTGAGCACAGCTGGGCAAAACACACCACTCTCTTCATTCCCACATATGGTAACACCCTAGAAAGAGTTGGGACTACAAGTCTTGGCCCACCAATTTGCTCTCACCCTAGAGAGCTTTAAGAGCATGTAATGATATTTCCCAGCACCTCCATATTCATCTCCCTCAGGTGCTAACAGCTATCAGCTACCTGTCTTTTATCAACAGAGATACTGACCTTCAAATAACACCTGCCCAGTAGATCTGGGATTAGAAACCAGTTTTTCCAAACAGATTTGGCACAGCCCGTTCCTTAGTTCAGCAAACATCTGTATACATGCTACTCTCAGCCATGTATTTAAAAGATACCATTTTTTTCCTCAAATTACAAAAAAAAACAAAAAACAAAAAAAACCCACTGTTTCATATGATACACTGAATTCCTACAACAGGTTATTTCACCTGCTCTAAACTACCATTTTCACCTGTCCTTTTCTCAAGGAGACATCATTATGAGTGCTTACAGCCACTATGACTTTCCTGAATAGGATGATTTGCCTCAACTTGTACTAGAGACACACTGCTACCCCAGAAAGGAAGAGGCACTTACAAATTGCATGAAAAAGAAAGAAAGCACCCATTACCTTTTTTATTACATGTTTACTGTAAATCGAGGTTGTTGTCTTTTTTTTTCTTTTTCTCAGAAAAGGCTTCCCAAGAGCAAAACCTGTGATCACATTTTCAGTTAGACTACTGACTTAATGTATAAACCTTCTAAATATGTCTACGTAGCTTGTAACTCTAACAGCACAATTTACTCCCAGTTTCTATTCATACAGACTAAGAACACAGGAAAATGGGATGACCTTTTTCATCAGTTAAAGAAGATGTCAAAGAAGAGCCCCAAGACCCAACAAGATCTTTGTCTTGACCTTTCTGGAATCATTTCTGACCATTCCTTCTCTTCTTGTCTCTTTCTCTTATTTTTTTTCCTTTTCCTCTGTCAGTTCTCTGCCTTTAACTTACCACTCCCTTTCTGTGTGCTCGTCTTGATACTTTTTTCTACCATACCTTCTACTCCCTCTACCTCATCTCCTTCTCTCTTCCTTTTTTCCTTCCCATCTCCATCTCTCTCCTCTAACCCATTTTATCTTTCTCTTTCTTTTTCCTCTCTGTAGGGTAGGACACTTATTTGTATTTGATCCCCATATCTTAGCCCATAATAATTGCTCAATAAATGTTAGGTGAACTGAATTAAACTTGGTGCCACATTCTTCCCAGCTTATTTTCCTCCTACTGAGCCCAGTGACCTCCACTAACATATCATTAAGCAAATTAACTCATAGTAATAAAGACTACAGCCAGATGCAGTTTCTGAAGTAGGTGAAAGCTTTAAGTATAAGGTTACCTAGGTAGCTTTAGGTAGTCCATGCCAGAAGTAGGCAAATCCCCTACATACCACTTGATAGTACAAAGAAAAGTGTTCCTGCCATCTCAGTGTTTGTGGAATTTGTACTTGCCTGAGTAAACATGGTGGCCATCTGTGGATCGAGGACAGAGATGTTTGTGAGAAGCTCAGCTGAAGCCTCCAAAAACTTTTGTTGACCTAAGATCACTCAGAATCTTAGGATCTTATAAAATCCCTCTTTGAAATCTGGTTCAGGTATACCAAGTGCCAGATATTTTGTGCCAGGGGCTGCTGTCCCCAGTCGAGAAGCTTTCTTATAATGATTATGAAATCATTTGGATTGTTAATATTTTTTCTGCACATCTCTTTTTATGGCATATAGATATATGTACATTATATAATAGCTTTCTACCACCTTTCATGACTGTGCACATACATTGAAAAATCAACTAAAAAAGTTTTTATAAAGGCAATCACATTCTTCCATTTTTGTACACAACTAGGAAAGTATAAGGTGGGAGTGGATCATGAGAACTGTGTACAGTTGTTTCACAAGTGATGATGTCCTCATTCTCATGAGAAATAAAAAACTTGCGAAGGTCCTATTTTCTTCCTTATATCTCTGTCCTTTTGGTAGTGTAACCCAGATATGATTAAATTCCTCTATTGCCCAGTCTCTAGAAGACAATCCCAAAGGGAAATAAAAACACTTGAAAATATGTCCAGATTTTCCTTTGTCCTTCATGAAACTTCCAGAGCAGAATGTGTTGGTGTGGATGTGAGTATGTGTTACACAGAAAATACCTTTAAAATCCTTCTTTCCTTCTACGCCACCATATCCAAAGGCAGCTGCTTCCCTTCCTTGCCTCAAATATTTCTCCTCTGCCACTCTCAACTCTCAAACAAGAATTGTTCCATGCACTAGATATCTGGTTCTGGTCTCCCTTTGTACCCTCTTTCCTCCCATTTCCATTTTTCTCTTCTAAATCTCAGTCCTTTTCCATGTAATTTTCCCATTTTGCTTCCCCAGCTGTGCTTTCCTATATCTATCGCCCCAATTCCGCCTCCCAAACTCTAGTAAACATTAGCTTTTCTTTAGTGGACAAGAGAGGGGAAAAGAAGTGATAATAGAGTATTTTTTTCTTAATAATTTTCTTTACTGATTTTTCTTAATAGGTCTTGTCCCAGAACTGTATGTAGTCTAGATCAAAGAATGAAGAGTAACAAGTTAATAAGGTTGTCGTTGATGGCTCAAATTCTACCTTCAGAAAGTAAGTCTTCCAGGACTTGAATATTTTTGTTTATTCATCTAACAAACGCAGATGGATGTTGTTATTTGTCCTATGTGCCAGGAACTGTACATGGTACTGAGCTAAGTGCTAGTGACTCAGAGATGAAAGGCATTTTTCCTGTCCTTAAAGATCTATCATCCTGAGATAGAGAAATAAGGAGCTCAACAAATGATTTCTTCTTTAAGAATCCCTTATTAAAATGCAAATATATCTGGAAGGATAATAACTTAAGCCCTAGTCATCCTCAGGCACTGGGAGGGGGAGAGATGTAAGAATTTTCCATGTCAATTAAGCTCTGAAACCACAATATAGGTACTTTATCCTACGCTTAGAGACCCACAATGCACATTAGCATATTAAAGGCTCTGAGAAGTCTTGCAGGAAATAATCATATCCATTTATTCAGTGCAGCATTTTCAAAATTCACTGAAGCATTGCTTATTTTCCACTAGAGAATACCAACTCCCAATCCTTAGAACAAGCATTTTTGAAAATGCTGTTCTAAGCCAATCATTATTAGCTTGACCCCAAAATGTTATCTCAACCAGGTGAGCATAAATTCCCTCAGGAAATGAGTGATGCAAAAAACGGGCCCCTGAGAGGGTGATGGAGGCCCACGGCCAGAAAATGGACTAAAAACAAACTCGCTAATTTCTATTAATAAAAATAATTATGGAGCAGCTCTGTGAGCTTATCACCTCATAGCTCTGCCACTAAACATGGATAGGAGAGGGGACAACAGTAGGGTGACTTGGGCCAAGGCTCACATATCTCTGGATTCTAATTTTCTTTGTTGGAATCTTGTGGGTTTGGAACAGATGGAGTCCAGTATCCCCTTGCAGAACAAAATTTTAAGCCCAATTACAACCTTGTACCACCTTATCTTCAATTTTGCTTTCTAAGAGAACTAAGCACATTTAAAAATTTAGAAGCTCCAGTTCACTGTATCTTTCCTTCCTTCTTAAGACTGAAGAAGATTTTATTTTACATGTTTTTGTCTCCCAAGTTTTCTGGCAGATTTTCACAGGAAACAGGAACTGGGACCGCAATTCAAGCAATCACAGGAGCACAAAGGCCCACAGTGGGTGACTTCGCCGACACAAAAAGGTATTGATTTTTATTGGTTAAGCCAAAAATCTTTAAAAATTTCTTCTTGGACACAATGGAACTGGGGAAAAAGTCATTCAAAGAATTTTTTTTTTTAAAAGAACAACTGGTGTTAAACTTGACACTTTGGGTATTCTGCCTTTAATGACACCCTATTCAAAAATTAAATGAGAGGAGTTAGAGGCCGAATTCAGAGCTATACTTTAAAGAAAGATTTAGAAAGGTTCTCACTAATCCCTAGGAGATAGCATTTCTGAAAGTGTGTTGGTGTGTGTGTGTGTGCACATGTGTGAATGTATGTGTGAGTGTGTGTGCGCTTGTACAGTAATGAAGATGTGGGACGTGAGGGGAGGAGGAAGAGACTAGAAAAGTTTCAAAGACCTGATTCCCCTTCAGTCAGGTTGACTTCCTCTCTGATCCTGGACGAGACAGGTAAACTCCTGCCTTTATTTTCCCTTTGCATTTGCCTCTATCACATTCCCAAATCGTTCAGTGATACTGCTGCATAAAAATAGAATAGCCCTTCTTAAGTTTTTTTTAATTTTATTTTATTTTATTTTGAAAAACAAAAATTGCTATAATGAGAATCAATCCTGACAAGTAAGTGATAATAGTCTCTGAAATACAATTTAATTGACTTCAACAAAAACAATAGCTATATTAACTGAGTGCTTACTATAGGTCAAGGATTTCTAATGTTAACTTATTTAATCCTCACTATATTCTGTTAAATATTATTATTCATATTTCATAGATGAAGAAATGAATGTTTACAGGGATTAAATTCTTAGGCCAGATCACATAGCCAGCTCAGCTGGGAAACAGAATCTCAACCATGAGACTACACGCACATTCACAGAGCACCTACTATACACGAGGCATTACGCTAGACAATCTTTT